GGATAACAGAGGTGTACCACTATGCTCAGCTAAAAATAACTATTTTTAAAGGAAATCCAATACATGGAAGTCAAAAAAGAGGAAAAATCATAAAATATATGAGATGATCTGTTTTATTTTAAAAATCTGTATGTATGTGAATACATGACAAAAGGTCAGGAAGAATATGTCACGCTAATAATACTGGAGACCTCTGAAAACAAAGCAAGGGTCAGAGAAAGGGAGGAAATAAAGTTTTTTGCCATATGTAATTCTAAACAAATTCAACTTTTTTAAGCATGAACCTAAAATTTGAAATACAATTTTGCTTTTAGAATTATGTTCATTTTTATGTGCTTTTACCTGTTCATGTATAGCTTTATAAATCTGGCCAAGTGAGTAGAAGGCATGCACAGTAGTAGTAGTAAGCATTAAGGAAAACTTTCATGTTCTCTTTTTATGTTTTTTTCTGTTTTTTTTCCCATTTATCCCACAGTGACAGTGTGTCTGGGTCAAGGTCCCTGCTGAGTCCAGAAAACACACTCTTCTCCTTGGCAACTCAGGGGCAGGATGGAGAAGCAGCACTGCAGAAGCCCACAGCGATGACCAAGAACCATCACCAAGGGATCACAGCAAAACTCTCAGAGACAGAAGCGGAGATCATTAGTCAGACAGACAGAAAAACATACAGGACAACTACCAGCCGGGGAGGAAGAAAGGGGCTCAAGCTGTGGAAATAAATACCAGATCCCAAACCGGGATGAATAAAAACACACGGCTCAGACAGGAGCCTTAAATGAGTCTCACACACCCAGTGCTCCAGAGTACTCAGCACACACCAGGCCTGTCCAGGGACACAAACACGAGGCCCCAAATCAATCAGGGTGCAAAGTCCTGGTGGTGGCAGTGCAACAGTTTCAGACAAGTGAGTGGGGGTCATTCTCACCAGAGACTCCTGAAATAAAAGGAGCAAGGAAAGAGAAGAATCACTTCATAAGCAATGATAACAAAGCAAATTACTACTTGGAAATCTAAGTCACGTTATTAAGTCCTACATTAATAAGCTGCTTCCGCTTTAGAATGAACACAGGCTGTGAGAACGTATCCAAGGCTGCAGAGCTAATTAAGTGGCAATCTCCCCAGCATGCTGATATTGTATCTTCATCTCTGCGGACCTGCTTGCTCCTCTGTGGAATGGCTTCACAAATTCTCACACTGCCTCTACAAGTCCCATCCAATTCTAATGCTACGTCCATTACCAATGAAAATAATCTCATCATTCACAGTTTTTCAAAAATCTCACTAGGATAACTGATAACTGATAAACACGGAGACATTTTATTTAATGCTTCAGAAATAGCATCAGTTATTCACACAAAGTAATGCCCTTAAAAGCTATTTTTTAAGCTGGGCATGGTAGCACATCCCTGTAATCCCAGCCACTCAGGAGACTGAGACAGAGAGAAGCCTGATAATCCAACAAGCTTGTCCCAAAATTTAAAAAAAAAAAGAAAAAGTTAAGGGCTGGAGACATAGCTCAGTGTAGAGCACCCCCAGGTTTGGTCCCTAATACTGCAAAACAAAACAAAGCGTTTTTTTTAAAAAGATAATAAATGCTTACCTTTTGATGAAAGTTTTTTCTTTCTGAAATAAACTTTTTTCTTTAGTATATCAACTTTTTCTTAAATGCCTTTGATATCAACTCAAAATGAATCATTACTTAAATGTAAATATTAAGACTCTTAGAACAAAAATGAGAGAAAATCTTGAAGAGCCAGGGCTAATCAAAGAGTTCTTAAACTTGAGCTAAGAAGCAAAATTCATAAAGGAAAAACAGCACACTGCAATTCAAATTGAAAAATTTATTCTCTGCTGATGGCACTGTGAGGATAAAAAGATGAGCTGTACAGCCAGGGTGGGAGTACTCACCAACAATACAGCTGACCAAAGACCAGTATCCAAAATGCGCAAAGAACCTCAAAATTCAACAGAGAAAAAGGAGCGAATACAGTGAGAACATGGCAACAGACACGTGGAGATTTCGAGGACAGAAATTCTCAACACCAGGCCCTTCCAGCCTCCTGCCCCACTAAGGACAGTGCAAACAAAGAAAACCTGAGGGCTCCCAGGCTGGCACAGCTCCCTGAAACACCGAGTGCCCAGCACAGGATTATGGAGCACGCCCCTCCACTCACACCTTGCCGCATGGCCTAAGACACTGGTCGGGAACGCACAAAGGAGCCCTCAGCAGTACAGAACACGACCAGCGCGCAGAGCCGCAGCCCTAAGGCACTGGCTGAGCAGGAGCGCCAACCCACTGTGATTAGCACTCTGCACTCATCACTAAAAAGCCGGTGCATCAATAACAGCTGCATGCTGTTCTCAGAGGAATAAGGGTTCTCCGAAACAATCACAGAGAAATGCTAGAGATGGTAACACTCTACTGAAAGGGAAGAATCCCCTGGATGGGCTCAGGAGTACATGCGTTACTTAGTCAGCTTTTCCTTGCTATCACAAGATGCCTGGGCATAGCAGCTGCCAGGAGGAAAGACTGAAGGGCTTGCAGTTTCAAAGGTTTGGCCCATGGCACTCAGCTCCACTACCCAGACCCAGGGTGAGACACAAACAGCCCAGCACAGGCCAGGCAGGGGAGCTGCTCGCTCATAGTGGCAGGAGCAGAGGGGGCACAGCCAGCCCCTTCTGCAGCTGCCCCGGAGGGCTTCCCATGGCTCTGCCTTGGACATGCCATGTGCACACTTTACAGCTCCCAAGAGTCCAGGACCTAGCCCATACACTCAAAGTCAACTGTCACAAAAGGCCAGGAAAAGCTAAGGAGAGACTAAACTGGAGGATGTTAACAGAAATGTCCAAATTAAAAACAAGGGGTAAAAAGACTGATAAAAATGCAAGACAATACCCAAAGAGTGTGGGACAACTACCGAAGACAGACATTACACCCTCACCATAAAGAGGGATCACAGAGGTAAACACAGGCACATACTGGACTACTCATGGCAGAACACCGGGCACATGACTGGACTGCCACAGTGACAATGCAGACATAACACAAACACGATTAACAACAAAGTCAACGACAGGAGCAGCGGAGAAGCTGGACTTCACTCAAATGAAAATCTTCTGCTTTGCAAAAGATCACGCGAGAAGCTCGGTGTGGTGGTGCACACCTGTAATCCCAGCACTTGAGAGGCTGAGGCAGGAGGCCAGCCTGGGCTACAAAGTGAGCTCAAGGACAGAGAGACCCTGTCTCAAAGACAAAAAACAAAAAAATCATGTGAGACTCTACAACAGATTAGCAGAAAATGCAAAAAAATGCATCAAATAAAGGACTGTTACCAACAATATACAAATAACCCTTAAAATGTAGTAACAAATAACCCTCTTGAAATGAACCAAAGCCCTTAAATGACGCCTGACCATTGAGGACATGTGGACAGCAAACAGTGTGTGAAGTGACAGACCATAGCCTGGGGTACCAGGGAAATGAAAGTAAAATGGCAAATCCTACAGAACCACTGAGAACCTCAAATGCAGGCTAGGACATGAAGCAGCAGGACTCTCACTCCCAGCTGGGGGTAATACAAAAGATGCAGCCACTGCAACAGTCCAGAAGTTTCTTACTAAACTAAACCTACTCTATTCATACCAATCCAGTAACTGTGCTGGGGTACTCACCCAAAGGAGCTAAAAATGGATGTAGGCATAAAAATGTGCACACCAATGTTTATAGAAGCTTTACTTACAACTGCCAAATGTAGAGCAGCGCAAGGTCCTTTAGTAGGTAAGTGGATAAACAAACATACATCCAGGCTGTGGAATATTATTTGGCACTGAAAACAAGCCTTGAAAAGACATGGCAAAAACATAAATGCATACTACTTAGGGAATGAAACCAATCTAAAAAAATTTATATAAAGTGTAATTCTAACCACATACATGGTATCTGGGAAAAGACAAATACTATAGAGGTGGTAAAAAAACAGGAGCGGCTATGAGGACCTATGGGGAGGGAGAAAAGGGAGAGCCCAGCAGATTCTGGAGGCAGAGAAACTTCTGTGTGGTGCACACTGGCTGACAACACCTCAGGGTCGGCTTGTAACTATGCGCTGCCTCCTTCTGGTGGAGACGCGGACATGAGAAGCAGCTAGCATGTGGGAAATGGAGCACATAGCAGATCCCCACACCGTCAATCAGTTGTGCTCCTGCCCCCAAAAACAGTTATCTTTTAAAAATGAGATCCCACCACCACAATGAGCCATCACCACACTCCTATCAGAAAGGATAAGTAAGATTTTTAAAACATCAAATTCTGGCAAGTACAAAAAGAAAACCAGATCACTTGTACATGCAGTACTGACAAAAATGGCAATCCCTCTGGAAAATGATGCGGTGTTCCTCCCCAAATAACCAAGCAACTACTTATTCCACAGCCTGGCAGGGGCACTGCTGGACATTCGACCCCACTGGGATCTCCCAGGACCTCCACTGCTGAGCACACTCACGAGGAGAAGGACAGACTGTCACACTGTCACGCACCCGGTCACCCCCAGCGAGTCACACACTGTAGCACTCCATTCATACAGCACTCTTGGGACAGACACAGCCACAGATCAGAAAGGACCGCTGCTGCCCACAAGTTACAGGGCGTGGAGAGCGAAGGATCAGGGCACTGAGGCCAAGGGACGTGCTCTGCATCTTGGCTATCAGGGCCAGCACCCCACTGTGACACTAGACCGTACTTTGGAGAGATACTTCCAAGGGGGGACACAGGTAAAGAGTACACAGAATCCCTCTGTACGATTCTTAAAATGGCATGTGAATCTACAATTATCTCAGAATAAAATATTTAGTTAGGAAAATTAAGGGAAAATGTAGCAACACAATATTATTAAACACTCAAATACTGTCATTTTCAGTTTGAAACAATAAAATATGGCCTTGGATATCCTCAGTGCACGGTCGTTCCCCGCAGACTCCTACCTAACACAGGAGCTTCAGCTCACCTTCCACACTGTCAGAGCAGGAGGTTCCGATGCCGGTGTCCCCGCTGTCGGACGCTATGCTGTGCCTCCTGACCGGTGTGCTTCGATGGCTGGACGGCACAGCAGTGGCCGGCCACAGGGGCTCGTTACCAGGTGACCATGCTGGTGAGCAGTCTGAGCCTGAAAGGAACAGGCACCATTAGCACACACATACTGCCTATGCGGAGGGACAGGCTTTTGTTTATCTTGTGAAAAACACACTTAGGGTATGTTCTGCCCAAACTAAGAATAACTGATGAGACCTCAGATGGGTCAAATAAACTTTACATAGCACACAAGTATCAATTTGATGCTGATTTTGCAGCTTTCTCTAGCTAAAGAACTGTTTTTGGCTTCTGGGTATTGAAGTAAAACATACTGTTGTCTTATTAAAAATGTTAAATCTATATCTTCAGATGCGAAAATTCTGCTCTGGGATATGCGATAGGTGGCTATCTACAACTCCATGTTCAGGCATTAGCTATATACCGCAGATCCAAACAATTTGAACTGAATCACGTTACCTGACAGTAAAAGTAGAAGCTAGGCATGGTGGTGCTCACCTGTAATCCCAAATACCTATAGTCCAGGTAGGAGGATCACAAGTTTTGAGACCAGCACCTTTAGTGAGTCCCTGTCTCTTAATTTTGGGGAAAACAGTTTTTTCAAGACTTAGGACTTAGCTTAGTGCAAAGCGTGAAGTTCAATCCTCAGTGCCAATAAGAAAAAGTAAATGTATCCATTAGGTAAATAATAATAATAAATAATAACAATAATAATAATGATAATAATTTGTCTACTATATCCTAGACATTTAAAATTTTAAATTGTTTTCTACGACCACAATAGACCTTCTTTTATTTCTTTATCTTTTCTAAAAATGTAACAGCACATTTCCCTACTCTTAGCTGTTTGCCTTTGAGTTACACTGAACCTTTGTTGGTCAATTTAAGCTTCAGTGCCCTCTCCCAAGTTTGCTTCATATTTGCCCATTTCTACCCTATATTTGACTTTGTCTGTTTTACCCATCACTTTATTTAACTTAATTATTTTATTATTTACTGCACTGCCACTTAAGCATAGCCATGGACTAGCGCTGGTATGAAGTACTTGTTGTAAGATACACAAGTAAGGATTATAGAAATTTTACAGCAATCACAGCAATTTTAATGTGTTGAATTTAACAGAAAAGGCTGCAGAAGCATCTTGCCTTCCTGATGCCTGGACAGGCATTCTCACACTGGGTTACAGACTTACCCAAGGAAAGTAACAACCTCTGAACAAGAACCTTATCTTCTTGTTTAAATGACAGCCCTTATGAAACTGACAGGCACATTACCAGCGATCTGGGCAGCCACCTGGGCCTGGGCCTTCCCACATCACCCTAGGCCCCTGCATCCACACGGCCACCTGTGAACCATGCTGTACCTCCAAGCTCACGGCTATTTGCGTTTCATGCAGGGGCTGTAACTGCATAAAGGCAAATGGTGTCACCAAGCACCTGTCACTGGAAACAAGACAGTTCTGCAGAATTCCCAAGCAACACCTATGTCACAAGCATGCCAAGAGCACCTCTAGCAGTTTTAACACAAGGAACACAAAATGACAAGGTGCATAAATTAATTACATTCATTTCTACCCCACTTTTAGGTGCAGTCTCTATATAAAATTAAAATCAAAATACCCAAATTAATAAAGCTAGACTTGAAACTACATTTTTCTCTAGTAGCTCAGATTAACGACTCAGTATTAATAAAAAGTATGCCTCATAAATACCACTTTAAAGTTTTGCTTAAACATAATTTATAAATGGAATTTGGGCTTTATAGCTGGATGAAATAGGGAAAACACTGGCCAAGGAGACACTCATGCCCACTCTGAGATCTAGCACGAGCACAGCCATGCTGAACTCTGCACACACAGGGCCTCTTCCGAGTGGGTCTTCCAGTTCACCTGAATGGACTCTCCCCTGGCACAGGGAAGGCATCCGCCACCAGGTCTGCTCCAGCTCCAATGTGGTCTATGATCTCCACCAGAGGGTTTTCTCCAGCCAAGTAATGTGTCACTCAGGTTCTACATGAACACAGTCCCGTCTACACCATTATCAAAAAGGACAACCAGCCCACTACTTTCTCTCACAAGGGTAAATGAGCTGAAGAAGTATCATTTTAGGAATACCCCAGAAACAGCATAAACAGGCTGAGTATGGGTAAATGAATAAAAGTATGTACAAATGGATAATAAAGATAAGAAAAAAATACCCAATCTCGCTAAAAGTAACAGAAATGAAAACAACACTGAAGTTTTAAGATTTTTTAAATTACCACATTGACAAATATTTGAAACAGTGTCAGCAAGGTGAGGTGATGTTCATATACACCTTTCTAAAGGGTAGCCTCGGATCAGGTCTACATCCCAACACAGGTGAGACCTACCAGGAATTTATCCTACAGAAATACCAAGCAAGCACAGACACATACGTACGAGGACATCCCAACAACACTGCTTAAAATACATAAATGCTTAAAAACAACACATCTCTGTAAAGGGGTCAATAATGCTTATGTGCTAAAAATAATTTCATCAACTTCTTTTCACCATGGAAGGTCTCCAAAACATGTAACGTGTGAGAGAAGTATTTCACAGAGCTGCATATTTAACAAGACCCCATGGCTGGAGAAGAAGTTATACGTTTACATACATGGGGAAGGAGGGCTCAGGGAGCTCCACACCTAAACACTAACACTGACTACTAAGTTTTATCAAAGGAACAAATGCATGATGTAAACATTTATGCCATCACTGATTTCTACTAGTCATTCTGTCACTTATGGGAGAAATGCTAAAAATTATGTACACTGATTTTTAGGCTACATTCTGAGATAAGGAACCAGCTATAGATCAAGATATAAAAATTCAATAAATTCTTAGTACCAATTTTTAGAAAAGCTGCATAAAACTACTAAAATAAAAACTCTTGCTTTTCAGCCAGGTGTGGTGGCGCACTTCTGTAATCCCAGCACTCAGGAGTTGGAGGCAGGAGGACTGTTGCAAGTTTGAGACCAGCCTGGGCTACAAAGTGAGCTCAAGGCCAATCTGAACTGCACTGCAAGACCCTGTCTCAAAAAGAAAAAAAAAAAAACTCTTGTTTTTATACAGTGTAACTATTTTTGAGCAATTTAAATCATAATGCTACATTTTACCCTACAACATATCTCCATCTCACTTACTGACAAATCTTGGCCAAAGAAAACATTTGTAGATCAAAAGAACAATTCAGTCTCTTTTCAGTATCTCTCATCTCTCTCAGTATCCCCTCATCTCTCTCAATCTTGCTCCCTCTACTGACAGAAAAAAACCACCAAGTGTATATACTAATTCTATGGAGTTCTGCTACCAGAACCTAGGAAAATCTTCAGTAATCAGTCTTATATAATTACTACCATATATATACACACACACACACACACACACACAAGGCTCAATCTAACTTTTTCTGTAAAGGGTTAGAGATAAATAATCTCAGTTTTGCAGGATATTCAATCTTGTCAACTATGCAACTCTGCAGTTGTAAGCTAGGTCAGTTGTAGATGACATGAGCAAGCCTATGACCCAATACAATGTTTTACAAAACAGTGACAAGTCACATCTGACCCATGAGGCCCCTGATCTAGAGAATGATGCATTCCAACCAGAAATGCTGTCTGCCTGTGCACCGTTTCACATATCTATTTCTTCCTTTCTGGTTCCCCAAACAGGGCAGACTGGTTCAACATTAAGAGACAGGAACTCACTAAAGGTGCTTCAGCTGGTCTCAAGCTTTTGTGATGCTGCTATCTGGACTACAGGTATTTGGGATTACAGGTGAGTACCACCATGCCTAGCTTTTACTTTTATTGTCAGGTAAAGTGATTATTATTTTATGTATGCTTTATGACTCAGTTCAACTTTCCCAGGGAACACAGCAACTCTTGAAAACATCACAAAGGATTTTTGAGGACTATATATACAACAGCAATTCTGGATTTCTTTTTCTAGAATAAAATCATCTCAGTTTTATCTGTGTGGTACGGAACTCCTGGACAAAATATGAGCTGTGATTAATCTTCTGTCAGCTTGACTAGGTCGTGCATGCCCAGAAACTTGAGCAAACATTTCTGCATGGATGTTCTGAGCTGGGATTAACCCTGGACTGCTAGACTGAATTGTCAGATTGCCTACCCTACAGTCCTTCCTCCAGCTATGGGCCAGAGCAGAACAGAGAGGCTGAGCAGAGCTTTTCCTGCATGCTGGCCTGGGGCCTCAGACACTGGATTTTTCCTGCAATCTTGAACTGAAACACAGGCTCTCTCAGGACACTGAGCGTACCAGGTTCAGACTGGAACTGTACCATCAGCAAACCCAGGCCCCTACCTTACCACCTCACCCTATAGACCTCGAGACTTTGTCAGCCTTCAAACTCTTGTAAGCCAATTCCTTATAGGTAATTATCCTCTCCTGGTTATTTCTCTAGAAGCCCCTACAAACAATACTGGGCAAATTCTAACACTGCCTGTAGATACGAGAAGGAGAGAACGGTGGCCAGAATCTCAATTTCCAGCGTAGTATCCAGTATCATCTACTCAACAAGTGCCTAGTCAACAGATTTACAAAGAGCACGAGTACAACCTCAACTATCTGTCACCTAGCACCTAGGCCAGGATTTCCTAGGTGACGGCGAAACAAAACAACAGAACATTCCCACTCTACTCACCAGAAACTCAACATTCCCTTGTGCATCACAGGAGAATGCTGGTGCTCCTGATTCATGAGGGGGTTACACTCTGATGCACCCACATCGACGGAAAATATCACAAGTTACAAACGCACTAACACCCTAACCTGCCAAGCTGCAACACTCACATCGTGTCCCAGGTGTGCACCCTTGTAAACACACGGCTGACTGGGAGCTGAATAGCAAGCAGGTCACGAGCTCAGGAAATATCAAACTCCAAACTAAGGCTTCTACTACACGCACATCACCTTCACATCATTATAAGTTAAGGCTCCTAAGTCACATTGGAGTAGGTTGGGGACTGTCTATACACCCATGGAGCCTGTCCACGTGGCACCCTAGGGAAGGGGTCTCAGAGTCACTTCAG